ACAATTGTATAACCATGTACATAATATTGAATCACTAAATGTATGTAATATTTCTTTTTATTCAGCTCATGTTAAAAGTGACGCCGCCGCTATAAACTTTGCAAGCATTCGCAAGATTTATTTTCTAACGATACTTCAATATTGTCGTAGAGAAATTTTAATGATGTCTGACTTCTGTCGTATGATTTTCTAATAGTCTTCCTTAGTTGGAAATATACCTTTGAAATATGTAGTAAATAATTTGATGTATGTACTGTATACTTTTACATTTTGTCATTTGGTTAAATTAAATAACTATGTAATTATACATTATACATATTATAATATATATATATATATATATATATATATGTAAATGAAATATAACGATGATGCAAATAAAATTATTTAATTGATTGAAAAAAATTTAATAATATTTAAAGTTAAAATAACATACAAAAATGTGCCAAGTGAAGAAAAAACAAATTTTAATTCCGAAATTAAATCTCAAATAAGCTCTAGAATTTTATTAAAAATACCACGACCACGTAGCAAGTTAAGGCTGAAGTAGAAAGGTCCTGAGGGTCTGTATATATTACTTTTGGGATCTAAGATTCAAAGGATATTTTCTTGAGATAATGAAATAACCATTTCGCGACAACATTACACTTTGACGAGATAAGAGTGGTTTCTAGCTTTGAGATACTGCTCATGAATTTATTAAGTACTTTGAGTTGAGTTTCAGATTAATTCACTTTAACTAAAATCGATATCTTTTAGACGTCAGCTCTATAAAATTAATGTGACTCTGAATTTACAAATGATATAAAGAGCAAAGATAGCTCAGGAGAGGCAATTAACTGGTTTGATGTCTTAATATTGGATTTTCAGATACACAGTGTTGTTTACACACAATACAAATGGGATAATTGCTATGTAAAAAGTCTATTTAATACAATGACTGTACTTTATTTTAACAAATACTGTTGTAAAACACTTGTTACAATGGTATTTGTGATGATATACGTAGACAAAGATTGAGAAAGCGTGTGGACAGATTTGTCTGCTCACAATAATTGTTTACATCTACCGCCAATTTTATTCGATTATTACCAGGATATTTGGAACAGCATCAAAATATCAGAAGGTTATACATAATAATACATATGTTATGGTTTCGACAATTTAGAAAATCTGAAACTTACGGCTTATTTGTTACCAGGGATGTTATGGATATGAAATTTCGGATACGGATAGGTTTCGGATATAGTAATGATTATTGTACCAGATACGGATAGGGATATGAAATTATTACGGATTATCCATTAGTTTCGAATAATTTCGGTTCCGGATATTAATTTTTTAAGGAATTTCAAAAGGAAAATATAAATAGCTAAGAATATGTTTACATAACGTGTCTTAATTATGTTCCGCCCCTATCTGATATTATCCGAAACTCTTATTTCAGATTCGGTTACGGTTACGAATATTTTATTATATCGGATATCCGATAGTTTCGGTTACGGTTAAGGAGCTCCCTAACATCCCTGTTTGTTACTATCCAATTTAAGATTTTCCTTTAGCGACTCACTAGCAGTGTAATTATTCTATAAGTATTTTAAACAACATTATTAATATTTTCAACTATTGCCTAGTTGGCTTATAAATATAAGTTCTTTTGTGTGGCATCTCTAGTTAAATTTTAGTGAATAAAGACTTCCAGCTCTGGAAGACCAGTAGTAAGACGATACTGAGTATTATGACATACCATTATATTCATGAACTCTATGAAATAGATGTTAACATGCTTAAATTTTATTTTATACTTCATTAACTTGGCTGGAGGCTATTCATTCAACTTTTAAGAAAAATATATGGTTATAAATATATGATACACTAATTTTGGTGTTCATCGCACGCTACGATCTGTAGGAGCAAAGCCGAAATATAAAATGTTTGCATAAAACGCAGACAATGTTGCTTGGATCAACTAGTATATTATATAGCATATATATGTATGGTATATGCTATATATAATATACAGAAAAAAATCATTCAATATGAAGCTTATATTTGTCTAACAGTGGGCATATAAAAAACCTGGAGTGGTACAGTTCACTTATATATTCAACAACATTCTTGCAAGGATAACGTATTCGTGTTTTTCACCTTTCAATCGAATTACAAGTAGATCCCAAAGGATATTTTAATAAAACCTACGCCTCCATTTTTCTTTTAGCAAACAATTTTGTTTACTCTACCGTAATGCTATATTGCAGGATGTCTAACATTCTTTCGTACCTGTCGGTTTTCAATAGCAAAATTGCTTTTACATAATACTAGCAGTCCGCTCTGACTTTGTCTGGACTGAAATAATACGTTGAGATATACACAGAAAACTATCGTAAAAATTTCTAAGTGCAAGTTAAATGTTACGACTAAAATATCATATCACTTTATAGAAGTACTGTATAGAAAAACTGTCCGGGAAACGTTGTTTTGTACACAGATTTAAGTGCTAATATCCCTATTAAAAATAAGCGTTGGTAATATAAGGGTGAAATTTTGGGGTTACTGTATTTTTTAATGCCACCTTATAAAACAACATGGATAAAAAAATGTATCAAAAAAATTTAAAAAATGGTAGGGGTGGACATCCCTGATCACTTAGGAGCATGCAAAATATGTAGATAGTACCTGCCCGATTCTTAGACCTACTGAATATGCATATAAAATTTCATAAAACACGGTAAAGCCGTTTCGGAATATTGTAACTAAAAGTAACGTAACTAATATTGTAACAGTGTGACACGAGAATTTTATATATAAGATAAAATATTCCTTCATCGATATCTACGGTATAAGAAAACTAGCGAACAGGCCAATTCTAGAAGAATTAAATTAAGTTATGACGAATAAAAAGACTGGCTTTAGTCTATTATGTTTATAATACAAATTTCTATTTGTGTATAACTATGAAAATCCATATTAATATCAAGTATTTCTGGAATAAACTCTAATACAAACAAACGTGCAATAAATCAAATGTTATCCTAATTAAAATATTTATGTAGATAGTAATTGCATTCGGCAGAATTATGATCAATCATGAATGATTACTCTCTATGAACAACCGAGCCATTGTACGATTGTAATAATTGAATATCAATTATTAATTAACATAATGTATTAATATTAATACTATCTGTTTTCGTAGTAATGTTTAAAGTCATATTCATATAATATGTTATCTGTGATATAATTATTCAATATTATTATTATTATATCATTGCCATAATATAATATTACAGACGTGCAACCAATGTGCATTCATTGGTTATCTATTGAATCTATGCCTTACTGATTAAAATATACAAATTTCTGATAATTTATAGACAATTTCATATACAATTGGGATCTATACAACTTCGCTTGTGCCAAGTTTTATTATAATATTATTAAAATTAAATCCGTAGTGTCCTTTTTTCGAACAAATCCTATGTTGTTAGCCTCAGCTAGCCTATCACCGAATAAAAACTATCTGTTAAACATCTAAACTACATATTCAAACAAATACTATTTTATACTGAGGAGACATCAATTGGAAAAGTAATCTTGAAAGATTACTTTTCCAATTGATGTTTTAAATAATTTTAATTTTTCGTTAATTAATGACAAAGCATCTTAAGACAATTTGTATAGTTGAAATTTAAAAATAAATAAGAATAAGTTAACTTTATCTATTCACAAACAACACAAATTGGTTAACTCATTGTTGTGAAACAAAACTAGTTTTTGCTTTGCAATAATGTACCGCCGCGACGGTTTATAATAATCAATTCATTTGAGCAATCATTTGTATATATGCTTTCACATGTTCGTTCTAAATGTATGTATATATGTATTTGTTGAATGTAGTTTATTTATTTATGTATTTATCATAAATAAATAAACTACATTCAACAAATACATATTGGTACTTCGCCAAAGTTAAAATTTTCTACTTGCACACAAATGCATAACATTTTAGAGCGTGGTCCGAATTTTAAAGTTATTGTTTCTGTGCAAAGCCTATATATTTTGAAACTAGCGACTCTCTCTCTTGCTATGCAATAGGAATACGATATAATACTGTGGTAAAACGGAGTCCATATATATTAGTGAAAATAACATTTCCATGCAATGTAAAAATTTATGAATATGTAAAAACGCGTGTCACATATGTCGAATAAAGATAGTTATAGATAGTTTAGATAATTTTTTGATATCTGTAATGTATATTTTGTAATTTTACTATATATATATTTCATAAGTATATGAAAAATAAACTGTATCTTAAACATAGAAAAGATAATTTCAAAAGCAAGTTATACATCCTTTATATTATACGTGAATAAAATTTCAGTGCAAAGTCTTTTATGTTCATAGTCTAATCATGGTTTCTATTCTTCTACTGTAACAATAAATCATTAATTCTTAGAAAACAAACTTCACTAATTTACAGTTTTATCGATATTTGCTTAGGATTAGCGTTCAGTATGATGAATTCAATTTAATCTTAACAAAGTAAATTGACATCATGATAAGATAACTAACCTAATAGATAACATTGTTTATTTAATTTTTAAATTTACACATTCCATATACTTTTATTATTACATTATCGCCGTTAGTCGTCTTTCCTTGTTTTTACTAAAAAATATTATTATTATACTAATAAATATAAGTTTCACTTAAAATGAAATAAAACTGGATATGTTTATAGGAACATTTACATTGGTAATGCTCGCATATTCGTAATTCTTAATTATGCTCTCGGAATTCATTCCATTTAATGATAACTGATTTCAATTTATATAACTCTGACAAACTGAAAATTAACATTAAATATGTTTATGTAATTGTTAATCAAATTTCCGTACCAACTGAAACAAAATAAATTCATCCTAGAAAACACATTTGTTGGTTTGTAATAAACCTAATGAAAATATAATTAAATATAAACTAATAAATACACTTACCTTTTTGCGTGTTGTTTTGAAGGATCCTTTGAATTTCTCCGGCTTCTGATCCACTTTCAGATTCTGAATATAGATTGTGACCCGGAAGTAGTGGATTTCTTTTCTTATACAATGGTTTGTTACTACTACGCACACTTGACGTACGGACTGGAGGACGCGGCGGGGCCTTCAAAAGTCCTTTCGGTCCATCACTGAGTTTCGATGTAACGCTAGGAGAACGCTCATTTCGCGTATTTATTATTTTATAACCCTCGTTTATCATTTTAGAATCTGCACCATCACTTTTAACAATGTCACTCTTGTCATCAACACCACTTTTTGATAAATAATGCTCCTCAAAACTAACCCTTTTCAGTTGTTGTTGATTCACGTTATTATTCTTAGGTTCTTGATTCGAAGAACCTCTATGGAAAATAGCAGTTTGTTTACTATTTTGTGACGTAATGACCGGCGAATTGGACAGTAAATTTAGTTTTTCCGGGTGTCTATAGATGATATCTTGCTCGATGGGTGAAGTTCGGTGCCGTATAAATGTATCCGTACGCCTCTCGGGCGCTCTTCGAATGAATGGAGACAGCGAATAAATTGGCTGATTTGAATAAAAACTGTTGAATACTTGTCCGCGAGGCAGGCTGCGACTTTTGGATTCTATAATTAGAGATTTCGGTGAGCTGTAATGTGAATAGGGCATATTATATCTCGCAGAACTCCTAGATAATTGAACTGATTGCCTCATTAAAAGTTCGTCTTCTTTTTGCTTTTGTTCTTTCAATTTTTGCCAATAAAATGCCTCAACTTTTTGACGAGCTTTTTCCTTTTCAACAACGTCGTCCATGTTTGTAATGTCCACATGCGATGCCGAAGATGTCTTCAATACTTCATTACGATCCTGTGGTCTAGGCGAAGGCGATGAATTATTACGGATACTATATCGACTTAATGAGTTTCTTTTTTCTTCAGCTTCAATCATAGTTTTTCTTAATTGTTCATATGGAGACACCGTTTTAGGCATATTAGGAATTTTATGATTTATCGGTATTGGAGAAGTAGGAGCAGAATAATTGTAAGGTTTCTTGACATTCACTGCATTTGAAGTGGTCTTGTCACTTTTGTCATCTTGTAACTTATCGGGATGTTTATCAAAAGATAAGCTTCTTGCTCTTATGGGTTGAATAGTCCGCACCTCGGCTTGTTTTTTTGGAGATATAAGAAATTTTGTGCTGACCCTTTTGATTTCTGCACCAACTGGAGTCGGATCTGTTTGTAGTCTAGATGCTCTGCATATCTCAATCTCATCGAGATGAGATATTTTATCGGCCAATTTTTCTAATGAATGATAATAAACATCAGGATATTGAGAATTCCCGGGTACATAATCTTTTATCGATGCATCTGCCACTTCGTTATGTGGTTTACGAGGCACTTGAGGTCTAGCTGCATAACTTCCGTATTCCTTTTTTCTGAAGTTTATTATTTCTGAATCCGTATTTGAATACAGTAATTTGTTTATTACATTTTCTGAAACTAGAGTGCTGCTTGATGAATTATTGCTTAGCACGTTAATGCGCTGCGAGTCGTTATCACATGTATGTTGCTGTTGGGTCACTGCGAGATCCTCGTATATACAATCGTTGTTATCTTGATTATCTACATACTTTGCTGTATTAGTAATCATCATTCGAGGATTCTGATATTTGTTACTATTACATGAACTATCATTCTGGCCCTTCAGATTAGCAGAGTCCTTATTAGAATGTTTTTCTTTTGATTTATTAGAGAATAATATAGGAAATAGTCTTCGGAAACTGCTATTGCGTTTTTTGCTATTGCCGTTCATTTTTCTTGATTATTTAACTTGATTCTACTGTTGATTTTATCAGCATCTGTAACAAGGAGAATAATACTTGTAAGATTATATTTTATTATTATTATAACAATACAGCACAAGTTTATAAATAAAATATAATGTTATTAAATATAGGTATTATTTATCACACATTCCACCTACTTTTTTATTCCAAGTAATATTATAATATACATTACGATATTACAGCATCTCTATAGAACAAATAGGTACACAATGCACAATAAGGACAATCCAAGGGCATCGGCGTAGTAACAACACCCTTGTGAGTATTAGTAATAAGATTCCACAAGTTACGTTCATTAAACGTGAATCTAATCTTATAAACACAATAGCACTCTAAAAATAAACGTAATTAATATTATATATAATATGATCTGTGGTTATAGAACATATTTGAATTTAAGCATATTGGCTATTTTTGTGACAACAATATCACTGAAAATTATATAAACGTAATAAGATATGTACCACTCAATCAAAATCAGTTTTTAAACAACTTTTTTTATACCAGCAATTCCAAATGACCAACGTCATGGTCAGCGACCTTTGTTGTACAAATATGCCATACGCCATCATAGCAAAGCAAGTAAAAATTGTGCATGAACACTCTCAATATTCTATATCTATTCTCAATTTTTGGTCAAATACAGAATCATGTTCTGTGGAAACATAGTATATCGATAAAGCGTATTAGATGCCTACCATTAATGTTAACTAGTAAGAAGGTCATAACCAGCATATTAACTTCAATTTTCAAAAGCGAGTGTTAATTTCTAATTATTCAAACTGGGAATTTCCGCTGAGTGGCGATTTTGTGTACTTATTTATTTACACTGTTTATTCAACACTTAACCGAGTTTAACTTTTGTCCCAATCAACAAATCTATTTTAAAATTTCATGCAATACTGAACAGTCAGATAATTGAAACAAGTAATTGATACTTAAACTCGTGACACTGTTATTTTGATTACCCGCTATATTTGGTTTCCTCGGTTAATGGATTTTGTCGCTTCCAAATTAGATCTCTATAAAGAATCGAAAGAAACAAAACTTAACAATTTTATTAGTTCTCGTTGGATAGTAGAGTTAAGAAATTATATAAAATTGATATAAATTAGTTAGATAATAAGTTATGGCTAAATTTACCTACACGGTTAAATGCTTTTGGGTTCAACTTTGTACAACAAAGTTAAGGACAATTTGTCCATGTCTCAGAGTAAGTATGTTACCATACTTTTTAGGATTTCCTTAGAAGAATAAAAAAAGTACAATAAAACAAAGCCACATATTTAATAGCTAGGCTAAACGATAATAGCAAGCAAATAGAACGTAGTCCAGTACAATATTATATCTAAAAATTAGTATATTAGTTACTAAAAAACTCTTAAGGCCAATCCATTTAATACCATCTATTGTAAAAAGTAAATGTCATCCCAAACTTAAAACTAATTAGTCGCGATCAAGCTGTCTATGACGCGTGTAAAAATAAGTAATCATGTATCTGAAGTAATTGATAGATAAAACCGAGTGGTGGATATGTATAAAAGAAATATATGAAAATGTTATGAAGAAAAGATCGGATTTTATTATTGTGGAAATAACCTGGGATAACAATATTGGATTTGTACAAATACTTTACAACCATTACTGTCGTTCTGGTACTGTAATAAGTATATTATGCCAGAATGACATAGAAGTTAACAATAGAAATCTTATAAACTTATCAGTAAACTAGCAAAACGGGGACAAGCGGCAGATAAAACACATTAAGTGCAACCACTGTGACTCATCTACAAAACAAGACAGGCAATTCGCATTCGTGAAACGATAGTGCGAGACAGAGTAAAGAATTGAGTTACAGAACTCGTTTATGTGACCCCAAATCCACTATTTTATCAAATTACAAACGATGGGTTGTACGCAATATCTATTCGAGGAAATACCACCACATCACGGTATCAGTTCTTGCTTACCAAGATTGTAGTTAAACATGTGGCTGACTGATTACATCTGATAAACAGCAAGTGCGTATAACATGGTAAGTACTAATTCGACATAGGAATAATTGTCAAATTAATGTTCATTTTGTGTTTAGTTCATGATAAAAAACTGAATTTCTAAGTAATTGAAGTAAATAATAATATATAACTAACGACCCAACACGGCTTATTATGCACACAGTTATTATACGAATTTCTATTATTATAAAAAAAACTAAAACCTACTTGTTTATTTATTTAGGATTAGTTTATATTCAGTTTATCCATATCAAACACATCTTGTACATATTATTAGTTTAGATCTTAAAATAACGCTTTTTCAGATCTTTCTTATATTTATCAAGTCTCTAAAAAGCTTTCTAATCTACTACAACTCGCCCTGGCTTCGCACGGGTGTACATGTACTCGTATTATATATATATATATATAAACATTTCTCTAGAATCACTCTATTAAAAATCCGTTACGTAGTTTTAAAGATTTAAGCATACATAGAGACAGACAGCGACAGCGACTTTGTTTTATACTATGTAATGATGATGATTGATTCAGTTTTACTAAAATCAACATCCAAATTTGTGAAGATCGAAATGCATATTGATTGAAGGCAATTGAAGCTTTATTGCCATACGAACCTAACGAACGAAATGGCAACGTTACGAGTGAAATTGCTAGACAGTTACAAACATTTGATCCCAAAAGCGGCCTATTCGTACTATTCACAAAGGCTTAAGCTGGAATTCTGTTTCGTCAGTACTAAATCATTTGAATTCTCGGATCTCGGGATGTCCGGTTATCAAGCGCTTCACTGAACTCCCGCTTAGAGAAGATTAAGCGATTATTTTGTTGTTAGTTATTGTTATTTTTGTTACTAGTCAACGTAATTTTTTATTTTGCTAATGATAAATGTAGGGTGCTCAACCTATCGTCACAGGGTATAACCACAGTCGAAAGGGTCGAATAAAACCGATAGTCGTATTATATCCAACCTAAGATATATGGGTACCAATTCCATTCTTCTTCCGATATTCGAGATATCTAAAAGATCAATATAATACATTCTTATTTGAATACGTTTGCAACCTTAAAGAAATGTATGTACACATAATAGATTATATGTAGGTATATGTACAAAATAGTTCGACCCAGTTTATTGTTATTTATAATATTATCGGTATTTGTGTTACATTATATGAGCGTGAATGTATAATATATATACAATATTTATACAGCCTATATATAATATAGGACCTAAACTATTTATTAAACCGACTTTACTTAGGAAGTTTATAATTACACTGACTACAATCGAATTAATTGAATTGTGCAGTTGCATATGTAAGATAAGCGAGAGTGTGATACCATCGCTCTGGTCAGATGATGGAGACATAGGAAGTCCTATATACATATATTGCAAACTAACATGTTACGGGTTGATTATTTGTACATTATGACTAAAATATGTACAATTCCATTTTTCATTCACTGCATAGAAACAATTACACTTCATTTCAATTAAATAAAATATTTTAAACATTAGTCGTAGTCGTATTGTCAAGTAATTATTTTTTTACCTATATATATTTTTAGATTCATTATCTAAACTGAACAATAAAACCTAACAAAAATATACTTGAATCATGAATATACAAATATTATATATTATATTATTTAGGTTATTTAAACCTGAAGATTATGAAATGTCATAAAGATACGTCATAGCATAAAATGTTTTTAAAATAAAGTTGTTATCGATAATGTAAACTCCTTAAGCACTTTTAAATGTAAATAAACAAATTAATAATAGCATTTTTATTGGATGTCCCGTAAGGGATTACAAAAGTTTGTCATTTTTAGCGTACGAGTTTATTCAAGGGATTTTTTCCGGCATTTGCGTATTTTTTCTGGAAACTTCAGTATGGATAAATATACATATATTGTCATCGTATTTGTATTAATGTATTAAAATACTGTTACTGTATTCTATCAGGTCCGTTAATATTATAAGACATATTAACCTACCTAATAGAAGTCTTTTACTAATTTAGTTAAAATTTTAATTTAGTTTAATGCATAATTTACTTTTTAACACAATTGCGACACTATACTAACTACTGCTGGTAGTAATCTCTAAGGATTTCAAGCCTTCTACATAGCGTACATTGTATATTAATTAGTGATGAAATTATAAACTGTCATAACGCCTCAGTTCTCAAGAGAGGCAATTCATGAGGGCATGAGTATTCTATCTATGTACTTCGTGCTACATTTTTGAGGTCCACGTGCTTGGTCTGCTTGGTCGACTGACACCGCGTATGATGCGTACTTTTTTGTCAATCAGTTGACAGTACTTCGATTAATCATTTAGAGTATTTTTATAGCATATTGTTCATATCGCGAGCCTGCGACTCGCCTGATAGTAAGAGATTATCGACATCCATTAGCACCCGCAACACCAAGGAATTGCAAGTATGGTTTAGTTCTTGAAGGTTTCGAAATAATTGCTACTAGGATCATTGCTAGAAGGACATTCCACAATGTAGTTGTCCGTGGCAAGTTTCTAATAAAAAGCGCACGGTAAAGGATCACCATACATCCATATGATCAGGATAGATACTATTTTGGTCTCTGGCGGGCAGTGCGATTGTGAAATTCGGTAGCTGGTATTAAATCGAACAATTCCTGCGAACACTCTGTAACATATGCAGTAGAAAATGCACAGAGATTGAATGTATCGCTGTAAACCCAATGGGTCGAGTCTGTCACAAAGACATTGATTGGCAATGATTCTGGCTGCTCGGTTCTGAATGCGGTCAAATGGAAGTACCGAACTGCTATTGCGAGAAATTTATATATTACACTCGTCTTTCTGTAATTTCGTTCAATTGTTTAATTTAAAATATAAGTATAGTAAAATGATAATGGAATGATGCACCAGCCAGCTATAACTACTAGTGGAGAATGATAAGTATTGATAAGATTGGTATAAGATCAGGTCAGTTATCATATTGTGAC